CTTCCCCCTGAGTGACTGGCCATGAAAAGCCCAATAGTGGTACAGATGGATGTTATTTGAAGGTGAGAGGCCTGGAGAGGCAGCCTGTCACTGTGCTTAACTGAAAAGTGCTAATTGTTGTTGGGATGACACGCTTTTACATGTCCTGGATCCAAATGCAGCATCTGACAGAGACAACCGGGTGTCCATTCCATTCAATTTAATTGCACATAAGTGGCTTATGATGACTGTGGTTGGTGTTTGTCAATTAGCTCTTATGAAACCTTGTTGTGATCATAGAATATATATATATATATATATATATATATATTTTTTAATACATACTGTATCCAAATACAAGAGGTTTACTCTTTACGCATAAACAACCATTTCGGGAAGCTTTTCTTTTTGCCACCCTGTGCCGCTGCACAGATTGCTCATGCCGGGAAATGCCACTGCTTCTGATCATTATTAAACAAGAGCGCTGTTGTGTTTTGATCTCATGCAGCACACAAAAACAAACACACACATACTGGGGAGGAAAATAAAACTTGTTAAAATGTAGTTGTGGCATGCGTGTGTTGCTGGTAAAATAATATCAAAGTCAATAACGTGAACACGGAATATGTTCAAGTTTTCTCTTATGGTCACTTGTGGATTATTTTGGTTTATAATACCATTTTAAAATAGGAAGGGACTGACGGCGCCACGGTGTATGAGTGGGTTAGCAAATCTGCCTCATCGTTCTGAGGTTGGGAATTCGAATCCAGGCGACCCGCCGCTTGCCCAAATTCAACTGGGATAAGCTTCCATCACATCCACCACCCTAATGAATATAAGCTGCATGGAAAATAGGTGGATGGATGAAATAAATGGGTCAAAGGAGGATTAGATCGAGGACACCCTGTTACCTGGGTGCCTCACATTGTTGGCTAAAAGCAATGCAGACCACAACACTTGACCCTGAATAAAGGTCATGACAGTTGATAGAAGTGTACAGTAATGGAAATTCTTCAAGTCATCACTGTGTGCACTTTTTACAGGATATTTTATCAACTCTCACATCAATTTTGTCGAGTCTGAAAATATATATATTTAAATATTTGTTGAGCCCACTCCCTCATGGTGCTGGTGTGCCACAGTTGACCGATAAGCATTTCAAATTGGACCGTACCAAGGGAATATTGGACAGGTATCACACGGAATCACATTGTTAGTCAAAAATAGACCCTGATACAGGTATGTCTGTGACACCACCTCATCAGAGCTAACTTTCGAACCATAACACCGAATCAGAAAAATCACATACAAATGCAAGAAAATGTCTGAACGCTTTGGATTTCCCTGATTTCTGCATGTCTTGGTCATGAAATGTGATATGATCTTGACCTAAATCACAACAGTGCAAAACGAGCCATGTAACCCAGAATAAAAGTATGATTGCCTCATATTACATATGCACAACAAACAGATGGATAACTAGTTTAGAAATCTGAGTCCTTGCAATAGATCACCATTTTAATTGGAGAAGACAATTTGCAATGTTGTTATTTCAGCAAGAAACAAAGTTGTTACAGCGTTTCGGATTGGGCTCCCGGGCCTTAAGTTTGAGACCTGTGATGTAAACATTCACAGTGCAGGGTGGAATTTTGGGCCATTCCTTACGAACAACACTGTTTCAGTTCAGCAATATTATTGAAGTGTTTGGTGTGGGAAAAGGAATCTGAGTCATAGGCCATTCCAACTGCTGTATTTTCTTCTCTTGAAACCATTCAAATGTTGATTTACTTCTGTCCTTTTGAGATGTTGTCCTGTTGTATCGCCAATCTGCTGTCAAGTTCCAAATGGCTGGCATATGGTCATACATTTTCCTTAGAAAATTTTTTGAAACTTAGGAATGAATTTTCCTGTCAATGATAGCTTTATGTCCAGGCCCTGAGGTAGTAAAACTGTCCCAAACCACAATGCCCCTTCCAGTATACAGTATGTAACTGTCTGGAATGATGGTGGAGGAGGGTTATTCTTTTTTCTTGCAGCCATATATTAACTTTGAAGCTCAAATTCAAATAAAGCTATACAGCAATTCTTTATTTTGTTTGAATTGATAGTATATTTTCAGGGTTTTTTTTTTCTTTTTAATGGATGAGTGGTACTATCCTGCCATGATCAAGAATCTGTCAAGCCTCAGATCAACTCTGCTGAGGTTGTCAAACACACCATCACAAAGTCACGGGCCCACTTGATAACTTCCACTCCATTCCTCATTGAGGTTATAAATTTACCACCGAGGCCTGGATGTGCTGTGACAACTCTGACCGAAGGCTGCCTTGCTCACCTGTGATTGTGTGTGTGTGTGTGTGTGTGTGTGTGTGTGTGTGTGTGTGTGTGTGTGTATGCACATGCATGGACACAGGCAATTTGTGCAGTTGTTTATAAGTGAATTGGAGAATCTCTTCCCACCGTTATCAAGAGGAGCAAAAATGCACAAAGACACGTGGCGGTGCATCTGCAAAACAATATCTCTGCCTCAAGTATGCTTCCCTTCCACTGCTTATTCGTCGTTTCTCTATGTGAAATATTTGGCTCATTCTCCAGCTCCAATGTCGTCTTGCCGAGTCGGAAGCAGACGCGAGCGCTCATCCAGGCAGGAAGGAAATAAATTGTATCCAACCTCGCTTGTCACACACATGCACTTGAATCATGCCACCATATTTTTTAATGTGTGCAAATCTTTATCCGTGTGCCATGTACAATGGCTCAGAGATGTTATCATCGGAGACAGACCAGCTTGGCTAAATGGGGGTGGCAAATTGCTATAGTATTAGAAAAAGAGAGCAAACTGATAGCATCCCATTATGGGCGGCTTGCAGATGAATATGATTAGCTTTTCATTCCTCCTAATGGGATGCTCTTCTGAAGAGGGGAGGAGATTAAATGTTACAGAGTGCTTGTTATTGCCTAATTTGGGTACAAAAAGAAAGAAAGAACGATCAGTCTTAAGACCGGTCAGATTGAAGTCCTTCCCGTCAATGTACAGGCACGTCTGAGCCGTTATGTGTGTGTTAATAGCACTTGCAATGGACTAGATTTACTGAGCTCTACTCAAGGTTATTGAAGGCTGCACATTGCAGATGCATCTGAGAAACAATGTCTAGAGTAGGACACTACATTTTTGTACCTCATATGGTATCTGTCATTGATTTATATACTGTTGTTGGACAAGAAGTGTCAGGGATCCGCAAAGTTACGGACAGAATGGAATTGTCGTCCAGAAACATGAACTTGGTGAACAAAAATACCGGTATTTATTTCCAGAAAATAACAGGTCACAAAACCAACATAGTACAACAAAAAATCACTGGTACAACACCAGGATAATGAGTGAACCAAAAGTAAGATAAGACAAGCAGAATAAGAATATAGAGAACATGAAAACTTGGTACATCTCGAAGAATTTGTGTCTTGGAAGCAGCGCTATGAACAAGGCCAATTTTCCAACACATGAAGGCAGAGAACTCCTTAAATAGTCGGCTTGATTACATGAGCAGCAGGTGTGCAACCCGGAGGAGAGGCCCTCCACTGCCATCTCCTGGAGATACACAACAACAGAACATGACAAGAAGCAACGCACGTTGTTATCGTGCTGATCGATATATCATGTTATCGGGAATCCCCATTAAACACAGCATGCATAACGTTATTTATTTATATTGAGTACAAAGATTGATATTCTGGTATTGGCTCAATATATTGATTGCTTTTTAACACTTCACCGCTTCTCAGGGTCATTGGTGAGCTGGAGTCTATCCCAGATAACTTTTGGCAAGCTGTGCTGCCGTAATCAGTTATTGTCTGTAATCTAGACATGTTTTTCATACCACTCAAGTTACATTTGTGAAAAGAATTTGTTGTGGTTGAATTCAAAAATGCATTTTTTAAGCTTAATTTCATAATTCCTCATACAACGCAGTCAGGGTTCTATCCTTGTACAACTCAGTCAAGGTTCTATCAGACAAACAAAGGGAAAGCACATATGATTGAGGGTGCGATTCGAGGGAGTCCTCGGTGATTGCAGCTTTATGCATTTTATTCCCACTAGCGCTCCCTCACCACTGAAGTGTATTTCTATTTTCACCGTCTGACATATCACCTTGCTTTCTGCAAGGGTGACAATGATGAGACAAAGGCAAGGCTTTGCTCTATTTTGCCGCTGTCTTTCCAGCTCTCTCTCTCAGCTGTAACTCACCTTCCAGCCTTTTGGGGCAAACCAAGCTAAAAATATATTATGCTTTGAAAACTCAAAGATGCTTGACAAGTCACTTTTCGGTTTTTATTGCTGTTCTACCCTGCATACTATTCCTTCTCATGTTTAGCTTATGCACATCAATTGACAACTGAAAATGACAATCTCATGTTGGTCCTGGTGAGAGTAGATCTTTCAATAGGCATTATCATTTGGAATCTAATGCATTCACTAAGACATTTTCGAAGGCTGCAGATATGACTTGTAAAGAAATTACCTGCAGCCTTTGCTCTCAAATGATATTTTTTTTAAAACACTGAGATTCAGAGAGAGATTTATTCTTTCAGTTTCCTGGTGCCTTCTCAACCTTTCCTTCATCGGTTGTCTGCCTCCTGATTTGGATTCTCCATTGGGAGAGAAAGAAAAATATTCGCTGTAATTGTTTTGTCTGCCTTCTGCACCAATAATGAGATCACCTCTGCCTTTCAGATATATCACACAGAATTAAGCTGAATAACTTCGGGGAACGTTTGCCATGTGCCTTTTAAAGTTCATGCTGTCGGTGGATTGAATATATCATGTGTGCAGGGGCCCAGTGGAACAAAAAAAAAACCTCTCACTTTGGACCTCTCCACATCATTGCCATTCATCAAAATGACCTTTTTCAAAGGCCCAAGGCAGTCACGGGCACTTAACAGTTGAGCTCATAGAGCTTTCGCTTTGCCATCCCTACAAATCTGTCTAAAATGTTGCCTTTGTCCCTGTCACCCTCTTGCAGGTATGGAGACATGGTTCCAAAAACGATTGCAGGGAAGATCTTTGGTTCAATCTGCTCTTTGAGTGGGGTGCTGGTAATCGCCCTGCCTGTTCCTGTCATCGTGTCCAACTTTAGTCGCATCTATCACCAGAACCAGAGAGCTGACAAACGGCGGGCGCAGAAGGTACAGGTGAACACCATTTTTATTTGCTTCAACTATGCTCCAGATGCTTGGACCTCCAGACCTGCACCCCAGATTTGAGGACTACCCAGGTTCTTTGAGATGGACGTTGGGTGTAAAACGCCCACTTGTAAGACTATAGTGATGCAACACATTCGCTTTCGACATACATTTTGATCACCTGGAGTTCTCTTGATGCTGCTCTGGGTTGACTTTTTGCCCGGCTGGTCTCTCGGCGCCAGAGTCC